CGTGCATGGCAACGGGAAAAACGGGGCGATGTTGTTTGTTGCTAAAACAATGGCAGTGGCATGGGCAGAGTGTGACGATCGGGATGGCTGATCCGGGCCCAAGGACAAGTTGTCTTGTTCGGGAGTCGACTTGCGCGATGCGGGTCGGGGGGGGGGGCTAGGCACCCTCCTCCACCAAAGACAAAGATCCCCCGTGTAGCCTTCAACAGACTGTTGGGGCAAGGGCTCCTCGTTCGCGAGGAGCACCTGTGAAGGCCGGCACGGCACACGAGGGGGTGGGCGGCCAGCGCCACGCCCGGCCGCCTTTGTCTCTCCCCAGTGGCGATGTTTACGACACACCGCAGCAGGTGCTCGTTTGAGGCTGAGTCGACCTAAGGGAGGCCCAGGACCCGGTTCAGATAATCGTCACCGGTGTTGGCCGTGAGCGGGAATCGAACTTCGGGTTGACCGAGTTCGTAGCGCAGCGTAGCGCTGACCTCCCCCCCCCCACAACTCGCTCCAGCCCCCCACCGCCATGTCCGTGTTATTCAGTTCACTCAGCAGCACGCCGAACATCGTGTTCTGGCTGCTTGATGCCAGTGGGCGAGTCGGCGAGGGAGTCGCTGTGCCACGCTCGGCGTGACGGCTCTCGTAGCCGGCGCTGCCCGCGGCTGTGACTTCTGCGCTGGTGCCTCCGTCCGGAGTAACTCGGCGACTGCCCTGCCTGTCCGACCGACCTTGCTGCGCTCGAACATCGATCGGCTTCATCTGAGCGACGGGGGGATCCGGCCCGTGGAGATTTCGCCGATGGTCTAAGAACCGAATGGGAGGCCGCCGTCATTGTTTTCCGCAGTCTCACTGCGACCGAGCCGTCGGCGTCAGGCGGCGGCGTGGCGACGCGAGGAAATCGCCTCGCGGGAAACTCCGGCGGAGCGGCGGAGACCCCGGGGTCCCTTGGCTGGAGCGGCCCACGGAAGTAGATCTCGCCGAACTACTTGTGAAATCCCTTCAAACGACCCTTTGATCCTTCGAGAATGAGGGCAACACTTTGCCGCCCGCTCTGCTGCAGAGAGTGCGCTGTTCGTCACGTGAGGGTGAAACCAATAGGGGTTTTTTTTTCATTTTCAGAGCTGGAATTTAGCCAAATTTTAGCAATTGAATCGAATTTTACACCGCCGATTAGCACGGTTGGATACGTACGGTGCGAAAGAAGTTCATCATACACACATAATGTGACGATCGTGCTTGTGCAGTCATTGGTGACCGCTTTGTAGGGCGCTTGCTTACAATGCTCCGGTTTCTCAACGGCACCTCACATCGCGTCTCATCTCTGCATTGCAATGCCCTGCTGCAGTCTTGCCTAGGGGGACCCTCGGTGGCTAAAAAGTCCCAACATCGCAGTCGGTGAATGCAGCACTGGCCTGCATGCGAGCATAGTCTGCCAGCAGGTGTGATTTTGCCCATGTGCTTTTACCCAAACAAGTAGTTTGGGGATTATTTTTCCATTCTTTGTGGACGGATTCGTGTTCACACGTGGGCATTGCCAACGGACCTTACACAGTCCGTAATCGGCTTCTTTCGTGTTAGATGGTGCGGGTATAATGCCGACCCGATTCAGAGCCCGTGTGCCCTCCACTCACCTGACACAGCCAAACACATCAATGTTCCCCAATTGTTTCGGGTTTTCCGTAAAACAAAACAAAAACGCCCGTCAAGTTGAAAAGCGAGCGAAATAAAGTTGACAATGTTGCACAACGTTTCGCCGGAGGTAACAAGCGGCAAGCATCAGGTGACCGTGACACCGGCACACACAGACCACGCTTTTTGCAACAGCCACTGGATTGTTTAATGTCCACTGTGAATCAGCCGACGGTGTCCTCACGGTAAACACATCACCGCGGCGATTGAGATACTGTGGGTGATGATGACGACGTGGATGGTGATGATGATGCTGTGGTTGATCATACATGAGTGTGTGATGATGATGATGTTGTGTGTATGTGATGATGTTGTGGGTGATGATGATGCTATAGTTGATCATACAGTGTGTGATGATGCTGTGTGTCATGATTATGATACTGTGTGTGATGGTAGTGCTGTGCGTGATGATAGTGCTGTGTGTTATGATGCTGGTAATGATGCTGTGTATGATGATGCCTTGGTTGGCAATGTTGTGTGTGCTGATGATGCTGCGTGTGATGCTGCTGTGTGATGGTGGTGATGATGATGCTGCTGCGTGTCATGATGATGATGCCGCAGTTAATCATGTCGTTGCTGATGATACACCGTGTGATGATGACGATGCCGTGGTTGACGACGCTGTGGCTACTGTCGCTGCGTGTGATGATTCTACGTGTGATGCTTTGGGTGACGATGACACCCGCGGTACGAACCGGGACGACCCCTGTGCTCGAACGGCGAACCTCGACAACCATCGCCTCGGCCACGTCACTGCCAGGACAACAACCGCTTGTTTGTTTGTCAATGGCAGCCACGCACGAGCACTCGCCAAGCACGATGCTATCTCAATCCTCGATCCTCGCGTCGGCTGCCCGCTTGATGTCTTTACCACGCTGGTCGCGGCGGCTGGGGAGAGATGTTGACAACCTTGCCTCGTATGCAGGAGGTCGTGGGTTGGATCCTGACCCTGACGCCTGCTGTATATTTTGGAGTTTGTGTGTTCTGCAAAGATGATCACGTGGATTTTTCTCCGGGGGCCTACGGATTTTTCCCTCCACGTGTAGTATCAACATGACGCATTTCGAGTATTTGGCCGCTGCTATCAATCTCCACACGCGATACGCCGCTTCGTTGAGCGATCATTCGTGGCCAGGTCGCTTCTGAAAAAGAGCTACGGAGCCCAGTTGTTGGCCTTACCTGCTAATTTCTTTTTTTTATTGTGAAACAGTCTTTGCCACGTTGCCGTGAGAGTGGGAAGCTCTGCGCGGGCGAACTCCCTCGCCTGTCTCATGCGCGATGATCGATGGCTTCAGCCGCAGGCCATTTTCTGTAAAAAAAAAAAACTAATGCAAAATCGTAATCTTCCAAATAGACCGGCTGGCGTGCGTGACCACTAACACTGACGCACGACCGCTGCTTCAAGAAGGGAAGTGTTTCGTCGGTGCGTGCGTGCCGCCTGCTCTAGACGTGCGGATCGGAAACGTGGACGTCAAAGGCAGAAAATGGAACGAAGGCTGTGGATTGCCCATGGCTGATGATGATGATGATGAGGCTGACGGATCATAATTTTACCATCATTACAGTTACGCTTGTTTGCCCAGGAAAGCCTCACTGAATGTCAAGATTCGATTTTCAGGAGGGCCCTGCCAAGTGTTTGCACTGTCCGTGGGAGGGGTGGGGCAATGTTGCGATGAATAATCCAAAATGAGTAGTTTGCGGGTAAATTTTAAGCAATTGGGGAATATTTTGGTCAATCCCAGTTAGATTGTGTGTTTTGTTTTTTGTTGTGGTGGGAAAGCGGAGAAAGCGGTGGAAACCCACGCAGAACAGAGGGAGAGAGAGAGAGAGATGGAAAACGCACAAACCCCGTGCACACACACAGAAAGAGAGACGCCCGAATTAGGAATCGAACCCACGACTATTTTTAAACAAGGGGACATTTGATCGAAACGGAATTCTATTCAGAGAGCTCAGAACTGTTGTTACGGAGGGGGGGGGGGGCGCCCTTTGAAAGTGTGCGTGCGTGCCAGCTGGTGAAAACCGGGGGAAAGGGCTCACCCGGTGCCCAACCGTGCCCGCCCCGCAGCCGCACGGAGCCACCCGCTCAATAATTAAGTGCTTCCATGCGGGCCTATTGATGTGCCAGCCATGGTGCGCCCATGCCTGGAAGGCCACCGCCGTGCCTCCATTTGGACCGCGCGGTGCGCTTTAACCCTTCCCCGTTCCGTAGACGTCTGCAAGTTGGGTGGTGTCCCGCTCACCGCCGAATCTCGGAACGCGCAAGCGGCTCAGCATTCATGTTATATAGAGAGGCGTAGTTGTAGCGCCGCACTCAACGATAGCTGGTTGCCAAACTGTGCCAAACGCCCTCGCGATCGCAGCCTTGTGGATTAAGTTATTTTCTACTTACATTTTTAATTCCAATTCCGCTCCCGACGTTACGCGTGCGTCATCGGAATGGGAAAGGGTTAATTAAGTCCGGGCGTCGCTGCGCCACGCCGCGAAGTTGGCAGATTCCCCCCCCCCCCTCCCGCTTGCTCGATTCCGCGCCCCGCACGGACGAGTTCCCCGGGCGTGTGTGTCGGTCCTGGGACGGGGGACGCGTCTCGGAAGGGCATCCACCAGGGGCGGCGAGCGTAGACGCGCGAGCAGAGTACGCGGCGATCCTTTTCTAATTTTTACTTAGAACGCGAGGCCGGTACAAAACGCCGATCGCAGAGCGGAGGGGGAACAGAAACGCCACGTAACAGCGACCCGATTTCGGCACGACAAGGGCCCTATGAAGGTGGGGAAATTTGGCTCGCTTCCCCACCCAGGTGGGGACCACGTGCAGGAGGCATGAAGATTTATATGGGGAGGGGTAAGGGGGGAAATAACTAGTATGTATGTCAGTTGAACTTCTTTCGCACCGTACGTAGCTAAAGGCGCTAATTGGAGGCGCGATGGACGTGGCTTAGCGGTAGCGCCTTTACTGCTCGCTGCCGAGGTTTGAGCCCGTTGGACGCCCTGGTTAATACCGCGTCGAGGAGCATATGAACAGTGCTGGATGCCGTCTGCTTCGCTCGCGGTGGACGTCAACGATTGCCCGTGGCGTCGTTCAAAACGAGTGCGGAGGTCATCGTGTGGCGGCGTCACGATCCACAATTTGAGAACCGTTCGGGGAAAAAAGTACCCCGCACGTTGCTCACGTGGGATTGCACAGCAGCGACATCGCCTGCCTGTTGTGAGACAGTTGGCAGGACCCTCCTGAACGAGACTCTTGAGGCTCGGTGAGGCTTCCCTGCTTAAAGAAGGGCAACTGTAATAACGACTCTAAATCGGTGCCTGCTTTTGCCTTGCAGATGCAGCTCGTGCCGTTGAGCTGTCGCTAGAGAGTGGGCGAGCGACGGGGAGGAGAGCAGCCGAGAGCGGATGACGAGGAGAGACGCAGCGAGGCGGAACCCCGGGCTCGCACTTTATCGACTTGCCCGCCCTGGCGATGCAGCGAGCGGCTATGGCTGCCGGCGGCAACACCTGAAGGCGTCCCCACGGCAGGCAACGCGCGCTAACGCTGCGTGCATGGCCCTCGCTCTCGAGCGGTCGCCACGGATTAATCCATCGTCGCCACAACCGTCGTCTCCCTCCGGCCTACGATAAACTCAGAGAGCGAACGCCCCCCGCCCCCCCGCCCCCCGCCCCCCCCCGAAACGTCGGAGGGCCGCGGCGATCGACGTAGGCCACGCAGTCGTGTTTTTTTTTTCCCTTCCGTTTTTCCTCCTCCCCCGATAACGAATAGCCGCCGGGCTAGACGACGGACGGGCGCGGCCATGGCGGGATACAAGCGGGGTCACGACGGCCAGATGGCCGGCCTGTACGACCTGGAGCGCACGCTGGGCAAGGGCCACTTCGCCGTGGTGAAGCTGGCGCGCCACGTGTTCACAGGTGAGCGCGTCGCCGTCAAGGTCATCGACAAGAGCAAGTTGGACGTGGAGGCACGTGCCCACCTCTTCCAGGAGGTGCGCTGCATGAAGCTGGTGCAGCACCCTAACATCGTGCGACTCTATGAGGTGCGTCAAACGGGAAACGTGAAAGGGGCCGTCCACAAATGACGTCACGCACCTGGGGGAGGGAGGGGGGTGGGGGTGGTCAGAAATTTGCGACGGGTTTGAGAAATGTGACGTCGCGGCAAGATGCGCAATTTTAAATAAATGTAGACAACACGTTCTACTTGGCTCAATAGACTTTTATTTTTTTTTTCCCTACAACAGCAGTGTGCAGCGCCACATTAAAAGCGCACTACAATGACAATAGTTTAAAGCGATTTGAAGCATGTTTAAATTTTTTTGGGGCGGGGGGGGGGGGCAGAGCTTTGTGACGTCATATTTGAGGGGGGGTTGACTTTGTGACGTCGTGTGACGAAGGGGGGGGGGTCAAAATTCGTCCAAAATCTCGTGACGTCATTTATGGACGGCCCCAAAGTACTTAAACACTCATTCATTATTGTCATTGATATTCAATAAGCATCTGCTCACAAGTGATGTCGTCACATCTGCCCCTCTATTTAAGGAACGAAACGGGAGGATTTCTCCACAAATCTGGCTGATGAAGCTAGTTGTAATTACTGGTGAAACGTCGTACTCAGATTGTAAATGTTGTGTCTTTGCTCCCCAACACACCGATGTGCTGTACTAGTGACGAATTGGCCACGTTCTGTTGACGTGACAAACCTTACTAAATTGGCTGTGTCAGGTGGTGGAGGGTTCAAGGACACACACATTTTAACGCGATCTAATCCGAAAAAAACCTGGTGTTATGCCTGAAAATATATTTGATATATAGAGGGCTGCAGAGTTTGGAGCGGGAAGGGCAGTGTTCAAATGTCGTTCGCCACCGATGTTAGCCGTGGCGAGGAGTAAAACTCCGGTCGCCAGGTTCAGAGGGAGGACCGTGCACCATTCACGGCTCTGCTCCACCACTCTCGGGCATAGATTCAGACCACGGTGGCTTGTTTGCGCGGCAGAGGGCCGAAAACGCCAAATGATTGGCGAGTCAAATCACGAGCCTCAATAGCGACAACTCATTGTGGAAGCCAGAATAGACTCACGCCCGATTCACGGCGTGCTGTGCTAACCACCTCAGCACCACTCCGCTCACCGTCAAACAGCGTGGCCTAATATTCGAGGAAGGAGGAGGAAGGAGGAGGGGGGGGGGTCTCTGGAGAGGAGCATTTAAAGTTTAAAATTAACTATTGGCCGAGAGGGAAAGTTTGCGTGTGTTGCGGCGCGGAATGGCACAGGGGGTGGGGGTAATTACATTTAATTGGCTTAATTGCAGGTCGCGTCAACGGGGTTGATGGGCGGCGTCGTGATCATGGTGTGGCCACCATAGTGTGGCCACGTTAAGGAACGCAGCGTTCTCGTGGCTCCACGTTCACAAATTCCGAGCCCGTGAGCAGTGACGCAGGGCCATGAAAGGCGGCCTTCATCGGAACCCCAAGAGGTCGGCGCCGGGAGCATGTATGTACGTGTCTTGAACTTCTTTCGCACCGTACGTAGCTAATTGGAGGTAGCTAACGAGTGCGCAGGCTGTGCGACGGCACCGGGGCAGGAGGGGCCGGAGAGGCCCGGGTGCCAGGCTACAAAGAAATTTGACGGGGCTTCCACCCTCCCCCCCGTCATTTCATTCCTCGCAGCAGGCTCGAGAATCGAACCCAAGGACCTCCCGCGTACCAGGCAGAGGTAGTTAACGTCTCGCCACCATACATGAGGGCCAAATCCCAAATACAGCCACTGCCAAGCAAGCGAAAGCCCCGCTGCCAAGTAAAATCAGAAACGAATAAACGTATCGAGAAAACGCTGCCAGAGCAAACAGCGCAAGCGACAACGGAAAAGGTAAACGCCACGTGACTAACGTACACGTCTGCGCGTGCCCCCCCCCCCCCGCCCCCCCCCCCCCCCCCCCCACCGCCATCGCAGGTGATCGACACGGCCAGCAAGCTCTACCTGATCCTCGAGCTGGCCGAGGGGGGCGACCTCTACGACTACATCATGCGCCACGAGGGGGGCCTGCAGGAGCCCGACGCCAAGCACTACTTCGCTCAGATCCTGTGCGCCATCGCCTACTGCCACCGGCTGCATGTGGTCCACCGGGACCTCAAGCCCGAGAACGTGGTGTTCTTCCCACGCCTCCGCCGACTCAAGCTCACCGACTTCGGATTCAGCAACCGCTTCCAGCCGGGCACCAAGCTGGCGACGAGCTGCGGCTCGCTGGCCTACGCCGCGCCCGAGATCCTGCTGGGCGACGAGTACGACGCGCCCGCCGTCGGTAAGAGCTGGCGTGCGCCGTCGCGGCGTCAGCCCCCGGTTAGTGACGCTGTGCTGGCCGTAAATCGCGCCTGGCGCGCCCGTCCACTCGCTTCGCTCGCTGGCTATTTTACAAATTATTATTATTATTAACAAAAATAATTTTCACCAGGTCGGGCCCACTGAGCTATTTTTTTTTTAGCGCTTTTTCAGAAGCGACCTGGCCACAAATGATGCCTCAACAAAGTTGCTTATCACGTGGGCATTTACAGCAGCCAAATGTTCTGAAAGCTTGTAGAAAAATCCATGCAACCACGCGGGAGAGCACGCAAACTCCAAATATATCGGCATCAAGGTCGGGATTGAGCCCCACAACCTCCTCTATACCAGGCGAGGTCGTTCACATCCCGCCACCGCTGTGCCACGGTGGCTTACGGGCGGTCGGCCGTTGCGGAGAAATCCTGCGACCGTCGTTCGAAGAATGGTAAAAAAAAGGACATGGCACGGTCGGAATATTTTGATGTTACCCACTCGATGGTAATTGGAGAGCCATAATCGTCGTCGCGCTCCATGATTTCGTCCAACCGTAGCCATTGCCAACAAAAACACGGATGTGTTTGTCGCTAATTTCGCTTGCAAGCTAACTTTCAGAACTCAAAGAGACCAGGAGGAGTGACCCGGGTCACTAAAATTACAAATAAATGAGTAAACAACAAAAAACTAAAAACAAAGTAAAGCATTTGACGCGAATAGCAATCGGAGCAGAAACAATTGTCGCCTGAGAAATTGAAAATAACCGGGGAAGATAATTAAACGTGACGTGAGTGTGTGAATTAGTGAGCGTGGAAGCGAGTGGGTGGGTGGGTGAGCGAATGAGTGGGTGGGTGAATGAGTGGGTGAGTGAATGCGTGAATGAGTGAGTGAGCGCGTTGTTCCGACCCGCAGTGTTGTTGCTCGAACCGCTCGACGAGACGAAACAATCGGTCGTCAACTTGCGCGGCGGAGGGATCGACGGGCTAACCGACCGCGGTGCCGGATCGCGCGCAACCACGTGCAGCAGCTGCCACCCAACGTCGCCCGGCTACATTAGAGGAGGACCAGGGCGTGCGCCGCTCGCTCTCTCCGCCCGCTGAGCCGCGGCGCGGGATTAGCGTCGCCATGCAACGGACAGATTTGGCGTCGTCCCTTTGATGTTCCGAGGGTGCCGTTCGTTCCGTGCTCAAAGCAGCAGTGGGCGGGGAGTGGGGGGAGTTCTCCATCCCACCCCCCCTCCACCTCGGGCGTGCGGGCATGCGGGCGTGCGCACTTGCCTGTCCAAGCCCTGCGTTGTGATTTTCATTAAAGCAACCCCCCCTCAGGCGCAGAGAAAGGACGCAGAAATGTTTAATCGGAGTGGCAGGCGCTTCCGAAAAGTTTCCGCTCCTTGCAAATGCGTACGTTGCCTGCTGGTGTGTGTGTGTCGAAGAGACGGGGGGAGGGAGGCTAGCGAGTGAGATTTTTCTCGAATCCTTTGGTCTTCGCTCGCGATGATGGAAGGGTTGCCACCTGTCCAGATTTGACCAGGTACATTTTGAGTATTGGCGTCTGCGTTCGGGTGGCAGCAGGAATTGAATTGTACCGAGATCTGGTACGGGCACTGTGATCAAACTTTGCTGCTGCAGTAGACTGCACAGTGTTGGCAAGGCCTATGCTCACTGTGAATTTCGTCCGGATTTTTCTAGACGGATGATAGATATCCTTACTGTTTAAAGGAGGATGGTCCCGCATTGCTCGGACAATTATAGCACCATCAACGGTAGTGTAGTGGTTAGCGTGCTGCACGATGAACCCGGCGACCTGAGTTCGATTTACGCTCACGGCCAGCACCAGTGACAATTATCTGAGCCGGTCCTGGGCCTCCTCCCCGAGGTAGACTCAGCCTCAAATGTGTACCTGGTGCGGCGTGTAAAAACATCGCCACTGGGGAGACGAAGGCGGCCGGGCATGGTTGCTGGCCACCCACTCCCTCTCGTGCGAACAGCACTTGCCCAAAAAGTCTTCTAAGGCTATCCGGGGGATCTTTGTCTTTCAGGAGGAGGAAGAGTGAGGGGTTCACTCGATCGCTACGCCCGCCGGAAAGCACTGCGCCCAAACAGCGTGTCTGCTGCGGCCCCTAAACAACTCCCCGTGCTTTGCAAGTTCCCAACCAGGCCTGAACTGGCCATAGGGGCAGCAGTCTGTAGGGCAAATGCCCCGGTGGGGCTGATCCAATCTGAGGGCCCGTGGGCCGGTCTGCGTGGTGAATTTGCGGATGTGATCAGAGTAAAAAGAAATTATATTTTGTGCTTGAAATATTTTGTAACCTCCTAATGTGTTCCCTTCATTGCTTACTTATGCTCTCAGTTGGCATGAAGTCCCCGTGTATTCGGCAGCCCCAAAGATTCGCCGGCATGGTTTGTTTTTTTTGGAGCCAGCACCAAATGGGCCAATAAGATCGCACGGAAAAAATCACGTTCGCACGTCGTCACGTGGCAACATCCAGCTACCCCCCCGTAGCCAGAATTTGGGCCGATGTGTTTACAAATTCCGGAGTGATTTTTTTTAGTCCCAGTCCGTCACTGGTTCCGACAAAAGGCATCGAGTTTCGAGTGTAAACAAGTTTCACAGGCCAGCTTTCAAGGCATATGGGGATGCCAATTGCGACAGATCAGGGGCGGTGGAGGGGTGGGGGGATGTTTGGGAGATATTCCGCCATTTCACCCAACCCATCCACCCACACTCGTCCGGAATCCGGAATGGTGACCGCGCAAGCTGCGGCGTCGTGTTTGCACGCCGCTGAACAATGTCGAGCCTGCGTGATTCAATAAGGACCCCGCCGCCGTGCTTGTGTCGTTGATTAGGGCGCATATCAAAGTCCACGGGGGAATGCGTAAACAAGTGGATCTGGTCAAACTTTAACCGGACTCGGCTTTGCCCAACGGGTTTCGTTCAGGAGCGCACCTCTGGATTCGTATATCTCCGCGTAAGCATCGGTGGTGGATTTTAAATGGTGTTATTTTTTTGCTTTTGTTTTGGCATTGCTGGTAACCGAATGAAAGGAACCGGTGAACAAATTTTTTTTGCCGATTTTGCCGCAGGTGCGTAAGTGTTCAGAGCGATAAATGCAAACCTTTATCACCTTTGTCAACTAAAAACTAAATTCAAACCATCTCGATTTAAAGCTTTCGTGACTGCAGGGATTCACATTATTGGTTCTTTCGGTAAAGTCACGTAGAAGGGAAATAATAAAATAATAAAAAGAAAACACAATAAAATAAAATTCTCACGACGTTTCGGCCACAACCATTGGAGCGGTCTTTCCGTCAGCTCTGTTCTTCACCTGAGGACGGCTGCTTGCGTTGTGGCCGAAACGTCGTGAGAATTGTATTTTGTAATGTTTAATTTTTATTATTTTATTATTTCCCTTCTACGTGACTTTACCAAAAGAACTAAGAATATGAATTCAAACCAAACTTTTTTTTTATTTTATCAGGTAAGGCCTACTGAGCGGTGTAGCTCTTTTTCAGAAGCGACCTGGCCATCACAAACGATCGCTCAACGAAAGTGGATTATCACGTGGACATTTACAGCAACTGAAGACTCTAAACGCATGACGTTGATTATCAATGTGGAGAGGAAAACGGGAGGATCCAAATAAAATCCACGCAACCAAACTCCAAATATACAGCAGCAGGCGTCAGGGTCGCGATCAAACCCACGACCTCCTGTATACCAGGCGAGGTAGTTAACATCTCCTAGCCACCGTGATGATGATGAGAGAGAGGGGAAAACTCCAAATATACAGCAGCAGGCGTCAGGGTCGCGATCAAACCCATGACCTCCTGTATACCAGGCGAGGTAGTTAACATCTAGCCACCGTGGCAAGAAGTCCCTTCTGCCAGCGATGGCGCAAGTGAGCTATTACAGAGCTGCGCCTTTGCTTTGTTGTGTTACGACTTTGCACACAAGCTGATCACACGGCGCAATCCCGAATGATGATTAGTAACGCCAGCGCATCTCTGTGACCCCGCGGTTTGGTGACTCGAGTGTTGGAGAAACGCGAAGAAATTTACACGCACGCGCGAGTTACAGGCAGGGGCTGTGATGCCCACACCTCTTGCCTGTTGCTGTTGTTGTTGCTTGTGCTCAATTTTCGGGTTCTTCTGTGCTATGTGTTGTTTCTGCTCTGATTTCAATTTGGTGTTTTTTTTTAGATTTCCATTTGCTTCATTGCTGTCCTTCATTTTCCCTGATTTGCTTCAGTAGATTTGGTGACTCAGGTCCCACTTGCAAAGCGAGACTCATTCCCTTCGGTTCTCGCCTGGCTAAACAAAATCACCGTGAACTCGTGCCAATGCCGGCCCGCCCATCGCCTTCACGGCGGCAGCCCCCGTCGGAGGCGAGTGCCTCGTGACTGGAGGCCACCGGTGTGGATCGGTGCGATGCACGCGGATGGCTCGGCTAACGAGAGAATTGAGCGGCTTCCAGATCTCAAATGTTCACTTTTCGAACTCGCTGAACCCCGCGCCGCATCCGACGCATTCCGGGTCAGGTCAAAGGCGTCCATGCGTTGGCCCCGTCCATACGGTCCGTCCGTCCGTCGGTAACGCGGGCGCACAGTATCGCTCGTCAAGTTGGCGCAGTGCGAATGATTAGCACGCGTACGTGCGTACGTATGACGAAGCGTCAGGTGCAGAGTCGTGTTTCTATTCGGGACTCGCACGTCAGAAAAGCCAGCGAAAATTGAAACACGGAGGCAAAAAAAGCGGCGCTGAGCGGGTTACACCTCGGTGTGGTGGAATTTTACACGTTCCGACATCGGGAGCGAGAGCGTCTCCCCTAGGACGACCATTGATCACGTCCCCACTTAGTGGTACCAATTTTATTGATCCCAGTAGGGTGATGGGCCAAGTGAACCGCCACAACCGATTTGCTCATCTGCTTGGCCACCTGGCTGGCCACCTGGCTGGCCACCTGGCTGGCAAAAATGCTCTCATGGCCACTTGCGAGTCACTCGCCAACGCGTTGACGTGGTCTTGCTGCTGTAAGGAAACTCGCAATGTAAACAAAAAAATCCAGTTGCTCTGGCCAGATGCCAAGATCACACACACGAGGTGTAATTGGATGGCAGTGCGTTGCACTGGCGTCTCTGGTTTCCTCCCAAATCTCAAGATAAAAGTCCCTGTTGCACCTTTAACAGAATGTTGGGGCAAGTGCTGTTGGCAAATAGCACCTATGTAGGCTGGCACGGCACACGAGGGGGTAGGTGGTCAGCTCCAGTGGCGATGTTTACACACCGGACCAGTTACTGCATTGAGGCTGAGTCGACCTAGGTGAGGTCCAGGACCGGTTCAGATAATCATCACCGGTGTTGGCCGTGAGCGGGAACGAAACTCGAGTCGCCGGGTTCGTAGCGCGGCGCGCTAACTGCTGCACCACCACTCCCCATGCCCATAGCTAAGCACCTACACACACATAATGCCACTGGTATTGGCCAATACATCCAATTGGTGAAAATTTACCTGTAAATTCCTCAATTTGGATCTCACACACACACACAGCAACAGCAACATCACCGGTCTGACTGTGAAAACTTGGCAAGACCCTCCTGAAAAAAGTCTTTAAAAGGCTCAAGGAGGCTTTCCTGGCTAAAACAAGCTTAATCAAGCGTGATAATAATAATAATTGCGTAGTCTCTGGTGACCGGACTGAGACCATCGACTCGCCAAACGTAGAAATTTGGGCCACCAGGGCCTGTCCTTAGCGACTTGCGTTTAAGTGAACAAATTCGTAAACATCACTATTCCTGGATGAAAAAATAAGAATAGGTTTTACCCTTTCTGGCAATAAAACAGTTGTGTTAAGATGTTCAAACACTAAATTGAAACCTTTTGCAAGGAATCAAGTTCGAAATTAACCACACGGTGCCTGTGGTGAACATGCATACAAAAATGCTCTGATAATTAATATATGGCATTGTCTTTGAAACTGATTGGCCTACATCAGAGACAGCCTTCATTAGGGCCTGGTCTCACCACCAGTGTCACATCAGAGAATGCCAAAAGGCGAACAGCACAAAGACAATGCCACTATCAGAGCGCTTATAGCTCAGGTTAGAGCAGCTACAAAATGGGACCTTTTTTCCAGTATAAAAGTATGAAAAAATAAGAATAGGTTTAACCCTTTTATTAAAATATATATTATCAGAGCATGTTTGATTGCATGTTCACCACATGTGCGTGTGGTTAATGCGAACTTGATTCCTTGCAAAAGGTTTTTGTTTGGTGTTTTAACGTCTTAACACAACTGGTTTTATTGTCAGGGTAAAACCTATTCTCATATTTGGATACTTGCAAGGGAGGTGCCATGATGTTATTTTTTGGGTTAGATCGCGTAAATGCGTCATTAACCCACCACCAATTTGAGAACGTACACTCAATTCTTTAGTGTTGTGGGTTTGCTCTCCAATACACCGGGTGTGCTGGAGTAGTTAGTAATAGGCACGTACCACCTCCTGTTATATTGCCAGAAGGGGTAAAAACCTATTTAAATTTTTTCATACTTTGATACTGGAAAAAAAGGTCCCATTTTTTTAACGCTATCCCTCACGCTGCAATGCAAATTGTCTTACAACGAAATAACTCTCCAATTCCAACCGGTAGTGGATGGACCCCTAACAGTTACCACCAAACTCAGACTCAAGGTCGCGGTCGCCAATTAAACATTTTTCCACGGCGAGTCCCTTCCTTCCCGCTTAGTTACGGAAATGGATGAAAACGAACATTCGTGTCGTACATAAAGCATGGTATGGATTTTCATTGGCGAAAAGGTCGCCTGCCCCCCCCCCCCTGCCACCCCCCTCACCGGCCTCCGAGTTGACTGCGGCTAAATCAATGCCAATGCAAAGGCCATACATCATTGCTTGGCCGCCTTAAGATTATCGTGTGAATATTAATGCGGAATGATGCCCCCCCTCCCCCCCCCCCCGCCCCGCCCGCTGCTTACAAATGCGTTGAGTATTCATCATTTCTCCCAGTCTCAATCAACGCACGCACACTCGCACGCCAGCCGCGCTCTGCGCGCGAGCGTGAGGCCCGTACGGTAGAGGGAGCGGTTAGCGCCACGCCGCGCTACGAACCCGGCGACCCGGGCTTCGATTCCCGCTCACGGCCAACACCGGTGACGATTGTTCGAACCTCGTCCTGGGCCTCCGCGAGGTCGACTCGGACCTCAAAACGAGTACCTGTTGCAATGTGTAATTGTCGTCATTTGGAAAGACGAAGGGGGCCGCCCGCACCTTCAGTTGGCTACGTACGGTGCAAAATATGTTCAATGTACTTACACACGTATGTTGAACTTCTTTCGCACCATGCGTAGCCAACCATGCTAATCGGAGGTGCGGGATATATACGAATACATACATTCTGAAAAAAAGAGCTACATAGCTCAGTGGGCCTTAGCTGGTAAAAAGAAAAAGTTTAGTTTGAGTTTATGTAACTGACATTGGCCAAAACATCATCCCGATGCTGAAAAATCACCCGAAAAATTACTCGATTCGGATTCCTAGGAAGCCACTGGAGCTTTGCACTTTAAATCTAGACGTAAAACTCTTTTCTTTGAAACTCATGTTTGTGTTTAGTTTGTCGTCCTTCTTCTTTTGGTTCTTTCGGTAAAGTCACCACGTAGAATGAGAATAAAATAATAAATTGATAAAATAAAATAACACAATAATATTCTCACGACGTTTCGGCCACAACACAAGCGGCCTTCATCAGGTTAAGGGGGCGAGACTGTCTGGTAGGACAGCGCTGGAGTGAAAGAGCCACGTTCAGATCACGGCCTTTAAGCTGTGTGAGAGGAAACAAAGCGCCTTGACAAAGGAATTAGCATATAATTTAGCATTGAAATGGCTGAGTGATTAGCTTGTAACTGGTCACAGAAATAGCTACGTTAAAGTCAGAGCATACACATTCACCGAGGCACTGTTGTCCTTCCCCCACACACCTCCGATTAGTGCGGGTGGCTATGTACGGTGCAAAAGAACAACAACAACAACCGCCATTCGCCTCGAAGTGGCAGCGACGTCACCACGGCACTTGTGCCAGGCTACGTGCACGTTAAGGCCACGTGAAGTGTTGAACGCCCGGTGGCAGGAGGTCACGCGACAGACCCAGGTGCCACGGGTCGACTGCCTGAAATGACTGGCCGGTGCACCACCTGTGCCCCCTACTGTGCCATCTTGCTGTGTTTTAGCTGCGCGGCACTCCGCTCGTTGTTGTGAGCGTCGCTCCTCCGCCCTCCGTTGTTGCTGGAGGGCGACTGCCTCCAACTGCCCAGTAACAGTAGCGTCCTTCACGAGCCTCCTCCACAGAGGCCGATCTCAACACCGCTGGTACCAGTCATCGTCAAGTCCACTCAGCTCCACGTCCTCCTGTACCACATCACTCCATCTCATCTCTAGCCCGTGCCGCTCCCATTCAACCCCCTCTATCCAGCCGAACAAAAGCTCTTTAGGCATGCGGTGGCTGGACACGCGGGCTACATGACCCAGCCAACATATAAACATACACACATATACGTACGTACATACACGCAGCACCTCGTCTCCCCTCCCCACCACACGACAAAAACCTGGCAGGGCATTCTTGAAAATAAGTTTTGAGACTCAGCAAGGCTTTCCTGGGTAAACCAGCGTCAATAACAAACGCATATTTTTAATTACAGGCGTGCGCCTGTAATTAGATAGAGCCCACTCTGAAAGCGATTTTGTCCGTCCATCCGTTCTCACGTGCGCGGCTGTCTGTCTGGCCCCTGGTGCGGTGATGCGGCAGACATCTGGAGCCTGGGCGTGATCCTGTACATGCTGGTGTGCGGACACCCGCCCTTCCAGGAGGCCAACGACAGCGAGACGCTCACCATGATCATGGACTGCAAGTACACGGTGCCTGCGCACGTGAGCCGGGAGTGCACCGAGTGAGTGGCAAAGCCATCGGGCGCCCGCACGCACGCACGCACATGCACGCTCGCACACACGCACGCACACGCGTTAACGTCGTGCCTGAATGTTGTCCCGTTATCGATCACCGCGTAAAAAGAATCGCGGTCAAGAACCGGCGAAAACCGGTTTTCTGCACGCGTAGAAAAGTTCCGCGAATAAAACTACTTGTGCTATGAAGGAGGGGTGTTGCCCGGAACGTCGCCTATTTTGTACATTGACTAACCTGCTTGACAACAGGACCTCTTCCAACAAGTGGAACATCACGGTGGTGAGATGTTAACTGCCTCGCCTGGTATGCAGGAGGTCGCGGGTTCGATCCTGACCCTGACGTCACCTTGGAGTTTGCGTGTCTCTCTCTCCCTGTGGCCGCGTGCGTTTTTCTCCGGGTCCTCCCGTTTTTCCCCTCCACATTTAGAATCAGCGTGCGCTCAGATTATTTTGGCTGCTATAAATGTCCACGCGATAAGCCGCTTCGTTGAGCTGTGCATGTATGTAGAACGTCTTTGGCATCGTTCGTAGCCAACCGTGCTGATCGGAGGTGTGGGGGAAGGACAACAAACTCAACACAAAAAACTGTTTTAAAGAAATGGGTTTTTAATTTAGATTTAAAAGTGCATAGCTCCCCAGTTGCGTCCTTAATTCCCACTGGGATCGGTCACCAGTTTGTGACTTTGGGATCTGGTAACCGATTTAAAAACCGATTACTGGTTAACAACCCCTACAAGATGAAGGCAGATCGCCCATGTAGCCAAAACAGACTGTTGGGGCAAGTGCTGTTAGCGAGTAGCACCTATGAATGCCGGCACAGCACACGAGGGGGTGGGTGGCCAGCACCACACCTGGCCACCTTTGGAAATATATTTACACACCGCACCAGGTACTCATTTGAGGCTGAGTCAACGTAGGGAAGGCACGGGACCGGTTCGGATAATTGTCACTTGGTGTTGGCTTTGAGCGGGAATCGAACTCGGGCCGCCAGGTTGGGAGCGCAGCACGCTAACCGCTACACCACCACGCCCCACACCTCGTACACAAACAGACAAACACACACAGACAAACACACACACACACAGACAAACACACACACGTGCTCGTAAAGAGACAAGGCATAGGTATCGCTGTATCCTTTAACAGACTGTTGGGGCAAGTGCTGATAGTATATTTTCCTCTATCTCACCCCTGTCTGTCCCCCATCTGTCCCATGTCTGTCTCCTATCTGTCTCCTGTCTGTCCCCTATCTCTCCCTCAACTGTCACCTGTCTGTCCCCCCATCTGTCCCATGTCTGTCTCGGGTCTGTGCCCCCCACGTGTGCCCCCCACGTGTGCCCCCCACGTGTGCCCCCCCCCCAACGTGTGCGCCCCATCCGTGCCCAGGCTGATTGGGCAGATGCTGCAGCGGGAGCCACGCCAGCGCGCCACGCTGGAGGAGATCGGTGCCCACCCGTGGCTCGGGGGCACGGACCCGGCGCTGGCCACGCCGGCGCCCCTCACATCGCACCGCAGCCTGTCGGAGCGCGAGCACAGCAGCATCGTGCAGGGCATGGTGCTGGGCAGCATCGCCGACCGGGACACCATCGTCGAGTGAGCGACGTCACGGCGCCCACACCAAACCAGCGCCACGCAGCACCGCACCCACACGCCACACCATACCCACGCCACGCAGCAGCGCGGACACACGTCACACCATACCCACGCCACGCAGCGGCGCGGACACACGCCACACCATACCCACGCCACGCAGCACCGCACCCACACGCCACACCATACCCACGCCACGCAGCACCGCACCCACACGCCACACCATACCCACGCCACGCAGCACCGCACCCACACGCCACACCATACCCACGCCACGCAGCACCGCACCCACACGCCACACCATACCCACGCCACGCAGCGGCGCGGACACACGCCACACCATACCCACGCCACGCAGCACCGCACCCACATGCCACACCATACCCACGCCACGCAGCGGCGCGGACACACGCCACACCATACCCACGCCACGCAGCACCGCACCCACACGCCACACCATACCCACGCCACGCAGCACCGCACCCACACGCCACACCATACCCACGCCACGCAGCACCGCACCCACACGCCACACCATACCCACGCCACGCAGCACCGCACCCACACGCCACACCATACCCACGCCACGCAGCACCGCACCCACACGCCACACCATACCCACGCCACGCAGCACCGCACCCACACGCCACACCATACCCACGCCACGCAGCACCGCACCCACACGCCACACCATACCCACGCCACGCAGCGGCGCGGACACACGCCGCACCGCGCCCCAACCGCACGGCACTGACATGCCGTGCCGGCACACTGCGCTTGAGGCCGTAAGGGCAGTCGTGCCGTGCCGTGTGTGCGCGTGTGTGGCTGAGCAGGGCGTTGGAGGCCGACCGCTATAACCACATCACGGCCACCTACTACCTCCTGGCGGAGCGCCTCCTGCGCGAGAAGCAGGAGGGGGGGACGCAGGGGGCTCCCAGGTCGGGGGGCCCCGGCAGCAGCAAGACGCAGTTCAGGTAACGGGCACGCACGGCCTCGACCACCGTAATCACCACCAGCACCACCACCACCACCACCACTACCACCACGATCGTCACTACCATTGCAACTGCCATGACCAACAAAACCGTCACCACCACCAGCGGTACCACCGTGACCATCAAATCCATCACGGCGTGAATTTGCCGAGATCATTACGTGGCTTCGCCCCAAAATCAACGACGAGTCGCGATGTACGCGTGCACGTTGAACTTCTTCTGCACCGCGCTAACCGGAGGTGCGGTGGAAGGACAACAAACCCGACGCGTCGAGAAACGAGCATTCAATCTAGATTGTGACGACAACGACAATAATAACACGACCTGGGCGCACGCCGTTCCTCCGCCGCAGGCAGTCGTGGCCGACCAAGCTGGACAAGGTGGAGGACGTCGAGGATCTCCCGTCCATGCGGGTGGTCCCGCCGCTCCCCATGCCTCGAGCCGGCTCCACCAAGTGCAAGGGCCCCGGCCACAAGGGACCCGAGGGCCGGAGGGGCGAGCCCCGGATGCCCGAGAAACCGGCGCGGGGGAGCAAACCCCCGCTGTCCTCCCTGGGGGAGGAGGACGAGGAGGCCGCGCGGGAGGAGCGGGCGGCCGCGGGCGCCGCGCAGGTCGTGTTCCGGCAGAAGGCCTCGCTCACCAGCCGGCTCACGGCCCGCAAGAGCGCGCCGGTGCTCAACCAGATCTTCGAGGAGGAGGGCGAGTCGGAGGACGACGACAGGGACGGCGCGCCGGAGCCCCCCAAGAAGGCCGCGGCGGCGGCGGCGACGGCGGCGGCGGCGACGGCGGCGGCGGCGGCGGCGGCGGCGGCGTCCCCGTCGGAGGCCCCGCCGCACCGCCCGCGCAGGCAGCGCCCTCCGAGCCAGGGCCGCGGCTCGAGCTGCAGCAGCTCGGAGACGAGCGACGAGGACTCGGAGAGCTGGCGGCGGCGGCGGCCCGACGAAGGCGGCGACGCGGGGCTGGCGCGGACGCACGGGGACCGTCGCGACGACCGTCCTCCGCCCGGCAGCGGCGGCGGCGGCGGCGGCGAGGGCGGCGGCCTGCAGCCCTCCGCGCCCGGGCCGGGCGGCCCGACGGAGCGGGACCCCGGGGGCGCCGGCACGTCGCGGGGAGGCGCCGCCACGCGGCCGGGGGCGGGCGGCGGCGGCGGCGGCACCACGAGGAGGGGCGCTCCGGGCGACGGCGAGGGGCCGATGGCGGGCGGCCCCTCGGACGGGGCCGAAGGGAAGGGCGGGCGCGTGCGCGGGGCGAGCCCCGTGCCCCGGGGCCTCTCGTGCGCGAACCTGCCGCGGGGGACCGCCCCCCTCGACGTGCCGTTGCGCGCGGGGGAGGCCCACGGCGGCCGGGCCCCGGGGCCCGTCAAAGTGAGCGAGCTGCTCGACAGCTTCCGCCTGCTCAACCTGTGCCTGTCGGGCCCGCTCGCGCAGAGCCGGCGGCCCTTGGCCCCGCGGCCCGAGGGCGCGTCGGGCCTCGTGGCCAAGGCCGTGGAGCTGCTGACGTGGGTGCGGGGCCTGCAGCACGGCGCGGCGGGGCCCGCGGGGGCCGCGGGCGGCTCCTGCAGCCTCCTATCGGGCCTGGACCTGGCGGGGAGCCCGCGCAGCCTGGCCCTGGCCACGCCGGTGCTGTGCGAGGCCGCGTGCCCCCAGGGTCTGCCCTGCCCGTCCGATGCGCAGTGCGCTTACAGCTCGGGCGCTGTCCCCTACTGCCATGTCATATAGCGGCGTCAGTGGTGCCACTACCGCAACCAGATATCACCACCATCATCATCATCACTGCCGTCAATAACAGCACAGGCGTCACCGTCACCCCCGATACTGCCACCACTGCTATCCCCACCCCTCTATCAGCAATAACAACTCGCCGTCACATACACACACACCTCATTACACCCAACTCTCACCCCAACAACAGCACCAACATAACACACACATGCAGAGAGTCAGCACTCGGCAGAAAGACAAAGATCCCCCGTAATGACTATACAGGGTGTTGGGGCAAGTGCTGTTAGTGGGCACCTACAAAGGCCAACATTGGACACGAGGGGGTGGGTGGCCAGCCTTTGTCTCCCCAGTGGCGATGCTGACGCACCGCACCAGGTACTAATTTTAAAGCTGAGTCGACCCAGGGGAGGCCCAGGCCCAGCACCGGTTGAAATATTCACCACTGTTTATTGATCATGAGCGGGAATCGAACGTGGGTCGCCAGGTCCGTAGGTTCAGTGCAGCGATTGACCAGTACACTACCACTCCCCATAACACCACCATCACCGCCACCAATACAGGCATCTAAACCAACCACCACCACTACCACCCACCAAAACAAAGATCCCCTCGTGTAGCCTTAACAGACTGTTGGGGCAAGTGCTGTTAGCGAGTAGCACCTCTGAATGCCGGCGCAGCACACAATGGGGTGGGTTTCCAACACCATGCCCGGCCGCCTTTGTCTCCCTCGTGCAGATGTTTAACACATCACACAAGATATTCGTTTCAAGGCTTAGTCGACCTAAGCGAGGCCCAGGGCAGATCGTCACCGGTGTTGCCGGCAGTGGACGGGAATCGAACTCGGATCGCCGAGTTCGTGGCGCGGCGCGCCAACCGCTACACCATCGCTCCCCACCCACTGCCGCCACCGGCGACGTGCGTGCCGGGCGGTGACCTCGTTAGCAGCACACGTCCAGGGCACGGCGACCCCTACCGCCAGGCCCTCCGAGTGCGGGTCAAGAGGTCCCTGGAGGTGGTCTGACAGAAGGTGGTGCACTCCCAGCATAGTGACCCGTTCCGAACGTGGGGTGGGTTGGCGGGGCACGCTGCGGAATTGCACGCTTGGAAACCTTCTGCAGTTCCTTAAGAAGCTGCCAGCGCGTGGGGGTGGAACGTCGGACATCGGTGCCACCTGGGTAGGCGCTGGTAGTCAGAGGGTGCCGGTAGTGAGTGGTCGCTGGTAGTGAGTGGTCGCTGGTAGTGAGAGGGTGCTGGTAGTGAGTGGTCGCTGGTAGTGAGTGGTCGCTGGTAGTGAGTGGTCGCTGGTAGTGAGTGGGCGCTGATCGTGAGTGGTCGCTGGTAGTGAGTGGGCGCTGGTAGTGAGTGGGCGCTGGTAGTGAGTGGTCGCTGGTAGTGAGTGGGCGCTGGTTGTGAGTGGTCGCTGGTAGTGAGTGGGCGCTGGTAGTGAGTGGTCGCTGGTAGTGAGTGGGCGCTGGTAGTGAGTGGGCGCTGATCGTGAGTGGTTGCTGGTAGTGAGTGGTCGCTGGTAGTGAGTGGGCGCTGGTAGTGAGTGGTCGCTGGTAGTGAGTGGTCGCTGGTAGTGAGTGGGCGCTGGTAGTGAGTGGTCGCTGGTAGTGAGTGGGCGCTGGTTGTGAGTGGTCGCTGGTAGTGAGTGGTCGCTGGTAGTGAGTGGTCGCTGGTAGTGAGTGGGCGCTGGTTGTGAGTGGGCGCTGGTAGTGAGTGGGCGCTGGTAGTGAGTGGGCGCTGGAAGTGAGTGGGCGCTGGTAGTGAGTGGTCGCTGGCAGTGAGTGGGCGCTGGTCGTGGGGTGGACAGCGGTGTTGCGGTTATATTCGCTGCTGCCCGTACGTACGCCGGCGATTTATCAGATTGTTCAGTTCGCGTTGCGTTCAAACAGTCGTGGTGCCCTCCTTACTCGCCAAACTTTGTCCAGCGCGCTTCTCCGCAGGTGGCGTCGAGTTGGTGCTTCAAACAAATCCCACATCGCCGTGGCAAGAACAGTCTCTTCGTAAATGAACAATCACCGTTCACTTTCCTACCGGGCATTGCGACCGCCGTCTCCGGGCATCACGTGCCCCCCCCTCCCACCCCCGATCGCTAATATTTACGCGTGGAAAATATGTGCCCTCCCATTCACATCTGCAGCGTGCACGTGAACGCGTGCATGTGGATGCGTGGACCGTGGACGTGAACGCGTGCACGTGAACGCGTACACGTGAACGCGTACACGTGAACGCGTACACGTGAACGCGTGGGGAGGGGGCGAGTGTTAATCGGAGAGAGGTTATTCTTATCTCGCTTTACATTTACAGAGCGCCTCAGCTCAAGGCGCTTAAGGCGATTTAAAAAAAAAAACCCGCCATCGTAAAAGAATGATTTCTGGTGCCAGGGGCCGTGCAAGCATTGCGGAATGAGTGGCAGCGATAGAGAGGTACTTGGGGAGGGCGGGGGTCACGAAATGGCTGTAGGGGAGGGACGGGAAGGAGTGGATGGGCGAGGAGGAGGGAAGAGGGAGAGACTGAGCGTACAGGTGAGGCTTTAAGAGGGATGACAAGATTCCCTTCGTTATTGGCGGGGCGATACGTTCCAGAGGTGCTCGCGAATAGCAAATTCCGAGCATAACGACTTTGAACCACGGCAATTTAACCTGAAATAAATACATAAGTAAGCTATTAAATAGATGAAGATGATCACAACACAAAAGAGTATAAATTGGTTCCAATAAACATCAAGTAAATACAATTAATGATCAAAGTAAAATAAAATATTTGTTAAATGCTGCGCATCATCACTTTCTCTCATAACATCCTCTCTCGACATCCTCTCTCATCACTTCATCTCATTACTTCTCTCTCTCTCTCGCTCGAGATGCAGTCGCGGAGTAGACTTCCGGATGCGATCAGCGGATAGCCAAAAAGTCAGCGGGGACTGCCTGCGATGAGTTCGTGGATAACGAGGGAATAGAGCGGAGCTGGATTTCTGGCCCGGAAATTGGTGGCGGCTGTCGCGGATACCCGACTGGAACGCACGGAACCGCGTACGTTGAAATAATTTCGCACCGTACGTAGCCAACCGTGCTAATCGGACGAGGGGAACAAACTCGACACAACAACAAGCAGTTTACGAACAGGGGCGGAGCCACAGGGGGGCTGGGAGGGGGGGGGCCCCCCCCCCCCCCCTGAAATTTTGGGAAAGTCGGTAATCTGGATAACCGGATATCCGGCTGCTGCAAAATGCTGCAGGCTGCCACCTTGTGCTGCCCTGCAGGCTGCCACCTTGTGTGCTGCCCTGCAGGCTGCCACCTTGTGCTGCCCTGCAGGCTGCCACCTTGTGTGCTGCCCTGCAGGCTGCCACCTTGTGCTGCCCTGCAGGCTGCCACCTTGTGTGCTGCCCTGCAGGCTGCCACCTCGTGCTGCCCTGCAGGCTGCCACCTTGTGCTGCCACCTTGTGTGCTGCCCTGCAGGCTGCCACCTTGTGCTGCCCTGCAGGCTGCCACCTTGTGCTGCCCTGCAGGCTGCCACCTTGTGTGCTGCCCTGTAGGCTGCCACCTTGTGCTGCCCTGCAGGCTGCCACCTTGTGTGCTGCCCTGTAGGCTGCTTGAGCGGCAACCTTGCGAACTTATCGAACTTATTTGCCACATCGGCAGCTCTGACCTATTAATAAACTCCGAGTCTAAATCCAATAAAATTTGTTTTATACATTTGTGGCGCCCATTGAAAAACATAAACACTGGATATCTCAGAATATTGAAGTTAGCCCCCCCCAAAGTCCAAATCCTGGCTCCGCCCCTGTTTATGAACGTATGTATGGTCTGCGTGGGGTTTTCCTCCGGGGTTCCCTGGTTTCTTCCCATAGCTATGAGAGAGTAAAATAATAACGATGTAACTGATATTGGCCAAACAATCTCAATGCTGAAAGAAAAATACTGGTAGCATTACTCATTTGTGATTACACACGGCGGCGGCGGCGGCAGCAGCAGCAGCATCGCCACCCATCCCTTCCGCAAAAACGCAGCAGGACCCTCGCGAAATGGGAGTCTTGAGACTCGCTGAGGCTATCCTGGGCCAAACGGGCATAATTCGGAGCGTAATATCAATAACAGCAGAGGGGGGGGGGGGGTGTGGGGGACAGACACCAGCGTTCCCCGTGGTATGTTTTACTTGACGTGCCGATGTGGGCCAACGTTGGAAGCGTCATCCTCCACGCGCGCGTTCACACTTCGCAAGTGCACTATTTTATCAACTCGTGCCCGTCCTCCTCGTGCTCCGCCAACCCGGTGTGTGGCGGCACAGCAATAAAGTCAACTGACGTTGAGAACCGTTCGTCGGTGATCCCACCTCGTCGGTGATCCCACCTCTTCGGACGATGCGTGTCCGTCGTGCGTCATCTGTGGGGCACGGGACGCGGGTAACGCCAGCGACGTTTACACGTGTGTTTACCGCCCCCCCCTCCCCTCCACAAAGTGCGTGTGTGCGAGTGTGTTATGTATGCCGATGATTTGGTAATAGCTGCTCATTCAGAGGAGGAGTTGGAGACGCTGCTGCTGAGACTGGAGCGTGCCACTAAGAGATGGGGCCTTACCATCAGCCCCACCAAAACTAAGCACCTGCCTGGGTATTTTGTACCATCGGACACTCCACCCCCACAACTCCCAATCGGTGATGGGGCAGTTGTGGAGAGAGTGGAGAGTTTCCCATACCTGTTCAGTCTGCTTATGACCGGTTCCAGTTTAACAGCAGAGGTCTCACTCCGAATCAGTCGAGCGGCAATATCTTTTCATCGGTTGCGTAACGCTGTGTGGAAGCTACCTGGTCTGTCGTTCCGCACTAAGCTTCAGGTCTTCTCGGCCACGGTCATTCCTTCCCTTCTCTACGCTTGCGAAACGTGGACCCCTTTAATGGAACATCTTCGCCGGTTATAAACATCTTGGCTAGCCTGCCTACGATCCATCCTGGGTTTAACCAGGCTGGATTGTGTGAGGAGCTCACAAATCCTTGAA